TAATTATAAGATTTTTACATATTATAACTTATTTAAAAAATTCATTAATCTCCTCATTTTTTCCTCTATTTTCTTCAAGTGAAATATATTATTATATTTAATAAAGATAAAATAATCAAAATAATTTAAAAATATAATATTAACTTAATAATATATAAAAATTATTTTTAAATCATTTTTTATTAAATTTAATCATTTCATAAAAAAATAAGTCCCACAATTGCCAGATCATCACAACTTCAACGGCAGTGAAAAGAGTTCAACGGAAAAGTGGGGTGTGCTTGCATCTTCCGTTAGATTTTGGGATTCAATTAAAGCGGTGATTTAATTCAACATTGTGGGTTGAAAAATTACAAAAAATAGTATAGGATGTCATTTCAATAAACTTAAAAAGTAGAAGGCTAAATACCACTTTCGCCTTTTCACGGCACTCACACTCGCATGTTTCTTTCCCAAATCTCTTCATCATTTCCCCAACCTAATTCTGCAACTAATTCTCTTTTTCTCTTTCGTTTCTTAGCAAATTTGTGTACTTGCGATTAGGGGGTTAGGCAGCGCTTGCAAACGTTTTCAGAAGAATTATTGAAGAGGAGATTAATGGCAGAAATCCTCCAACCCGCTCACTCCAATAGGTTTCTAGTCTTACTATCTAGCGCACCCTGTTCTTTCGAAAACCAGATTCCGATTCCGATTCCAATTTGGCTTTCGTGACATCCAATTTCACGCTTCCAATCAGTAATATGCATCAATTCACCACTTGGTTTCGCTTGATTCTTCTGTTTTTTCACATTGGCCAAAAATGTTGATCTTCAACCCTCTGGCTTCTGGCCAGGTACATGATTTACTATTACTCGATTTATGTAAAATTGCAGCTATCGACAATTCTCGGATTCGTGCCTATCGCCGCTGCTTGGATTTATGCAGAGTATTTGGAGCACAAGAAGTGTGAGTTTCGGTGCATTTTAGGAACGGTGAATTGAGGTAATGTTAATTTTCCTATGAACTAACGTTGTTTTGTCGTGTTAGTTGGCACTCCGACGTCAATTTGGTTGAAACCGGGGTTGAGGCTGTCAAAGAAGATGGTTTTGTTAGAGGGTGGAGCTCTCCGATCAGCTTCTCCTAAGTCTTCTTGCCCGTTAGCATTTTTTAGCGAAATAGAAAGGAGAATGAAGAACCGTTTGCAGAATTGGGGAAAAGATGAGGTTTTTTTGAAAAAAAAAAAAACTGTAGGTCTCATGAAAAAGTTTGTCAAGTTGGACACACAAAAAGGGGAAGTGTGTAAGGCGGTTTACGTCATTAAATGTATGTTTAGACTTTCGAGTTTTTGGTTTGTTTAATTTACTGTCATCTTGATGCACCTGCATTTCCTTTTCTGGGAATGAACATTGTCTACCGTGAAGCCGGGTGCCCAGCCTGAGGAGTCTTAACACGTGTAATGTATTGATTTTTCTTTTGTTTGTTAATCAGCGGAAAGTAAATCTACCAATGATACCAGCAGGGACCAACCGGTTCTTCCAGTTGCGTCATCTTCAATCACTGGCACTGCTGAAGGCACCATATCCACTCCCACTGTAAGCGAGGAACTGAAAGTTGCTTCTCAGCTTTAGAAATTCTCCTATAATGAGCTCAAGTCAGCAACAAGGAACTTTAGACCCAAGAGTCATCTTGGGGAGGGGGGCTTGGTTGTGCCTTCAAAGGTTGGAGTGGATCATTGAAAATGGAACTGCTCCAATGAAACCTGGCACAGGATTGTGTGTTGCTATCAAAACCCTCGACCGGGATGGACTTCAGGGTCATAAAGAATGGCTTGTAAGGAATGACTTCATCTGTCTAGATTTTTAAATTTTGTGTATACATTTGATTGATTGAAGGATATTTTGTAACGTCTGGATGTGCCAAGTAGAGTTAATTACCTTGGTGATCTTTGGCATCCTAATTTGGTCAAGTTGATTGGCTATTGCATGATAAAAGGCTCCTTGTCTATGAGTTTATGCCTTGAGGAAGCTCGGAGAATCACCTATTTTGAAGTATGTAAATTTACAAATTGCTGGCCTTTCTTGGTCTTACTTTTTGTTGTACAGTTGGCCTTTCTTGGTCTTAATTTCATCATCTATCTTTAATAGCTGATCACAACCTTTGAGTTAAATCAAAACCCTCATGAGCATATTACATATGGAAGAATAACCTCACTAGTAATGGTGCTGTAAGATTCAAAGTGTGTCTTCTAAAATTTGTCTATATTGTTAGGGAGTTGGCATGAGTTAAGACAAAAACACCCCCCACATGTACGTCTATATATATAGTTATACCTACTTGGAATTAGGCATGGGTGCAAACAATTACAGGATTTTTGTATTTTCCATATTGCTAGTAAAATGACCTTTCAGGAAGCAGTTTCCTTAGTTGTTTTCATGTGTTCTGCTCTGTACTTGGTTTTCTTGTTAATGGCTTTGTTTATAGTTTAAGTGCATTGAAACATTGCAATCTCGTTCACAAATGAGGAAGAGAACATAATATCATTGAAGTTAATGGTTTTGCTGTTGAGAAGATTAGTTATGTTATAAGATGGAAAGTCAAAAACTGATGGTGACAAATAATGCATTAATATTCAGGATTGATCCCTGGAATCAACATTTTACTGAACATGCTATGAAAAAGATACAGCCTAACAGCACAATATGTGGATGCACTTTTTAAAGAAACTATTCATTATATGAGGACTCTTAGCAAGCTTATTCTGAAACCCTCTACCTCCTCTTGTTTTGATTTACAGTACCAGCAGCCTAGTGACTGAATGATGGTCCGCTAGCAGACTATTTAACTCAGTGCTTCATATAATGGGTATGTTTTATGTTGCAGGGTCTCATCCGCTGCCCTGGTCCACCGGTGCTGCCAAGGGCCTTGCCTTTCTTCATGAGGAAGCTGAAAAACCAGTAATTTATTGAGACTTGAAAACATCTAATATCCTTTTGGATGCGGTGTGTGACTTGAATGATGTTAACAATTTCCTTTTTATCTTTCCATGTATCATCCTTGTCTAAGAGTTTGCCAACACCTTTCCAGGATTACAATGCCAAGCTTTCTGATTTTGGACTAGCTAAAGATGGTCCAGAGTACAAAATAACAGGTGAGTTGAACTGACAAATGGCATGAATGGCATTAACCTTCCCCACCTCTCTCCCCCAACACACAAAATCCCCAAAATTATCTGTTTGACTTTCTTTTAGTTTGAAAATTTATTTTAAGAAATTGGATATATGGTGCTGGAATGTTGTAGCAAAAGATCCATGATGTGTTCAGCTTTTATTCACTTAAACAACTATATGTTTGTGCATTCCAAGCAAAATTTATTTTATGTTCTTTTCCTGGTCCATCTAATAGTTTGTGGTTGGTATTCATATGATATGAATTTTCTTATGAGTGAAAATATGTTTGCCATTTTAATGGTGATTCTATTTTTCCAGGGCATCTGACATCTAAGAGTGATGTCTATAGCTTCAGGGTGGTTCTTCTTGAGATGTTGACAGGACGAATGTCCATGGACGAAAACCAACTAAATGGGGAGCATAACCTAGTGGAATGGGTTTGGCCGTATCTTGAAGAGAAACCAAGGTTGTACGGACTTATAGATCCTTGCCTTGAAGGACGCTTCTCAATCAAAAGGGCACAGAAAGCAATTCAATTGGCTGCCCACTGTCTTGGCCATGCTCCCAAAGTCAGACCTTTGATGAGCGAAGTTGTTGAAGCACTAAAGAGTCTGCTGAATCTCAAGGACATGGCTTGTTCTTGATCTCACTTCCAGGGCATGCAAGCAGAGCGTGCAGGGTCCATTGCAAATGCTAGAATTGGTGGAAGAGTGCAAGGTGGTTTCCCATCAAGGAATGTTCGACCAAGCAGGAGCATCTCTATGCCAAATGGGCCACATGTTTCTCCATATCACCATAACCATCTTCATTGGTCACCCAAACCTGATGTTGGACAATCTTCAGGTTAAGTCCATGCCTACCTGCGTGCTTTGTCTTGTTTTATTTTATGTGTTTCTGCTAGGAGTGCGTTAGTGAGCTTTGGAAGTTTATGATGATAAGCCTGTTAAGTTCCTTTCTGAGTAGAAGTGCATTAATGGGTTCTGCACTGTGGAGAAACATGAAAGGGCTCTTGTAGCTTATGATATGTTTAAATTTTAAAATAGTTAATGCCCTTTCTTTAGTGCTTACCTCACATCTTCTATGCTATCAAGGTTGATGCAAATTAGGGATTACAGTTTCAGTGATGCCAATCAGGATTGACTAAACAAGAAGGGGGAAAAAAATGTTGCATTTTTTGAACTACTTGCCTATTTGCACAGCCAGTTTCTTCTGCCGAGTGCTGGACCTACTTTCGGTGCATTAAAATGTTTCTGTAAAAATTTGTAATCATTGTGCCATTATTCTTATTGGGACAGATACAAAGTATTGTAGTGTCTTGAGTCCCAGAATATCTCATGAATTCCATTTAATCATTTTTAAACAGAAAATTGCGGCATGAAAAGGGACAAACAGAACTTAAAATATGAGGGAAAAAAGAGATGATCCATAGGATACTCGCTCGCATCTAATTTGAGGGGGAACCATGATGCTTATCTGGATGACTTGAAACTTCTAATTGAGATTATCTTCCATTTTCCATTCCCAAATCACTATTCACCAGCTCCAATAGGGAAATAGCTGGAAAAGGTTTCGAAAGTGGTCTTTGGCGGGCAACAAACTGTTGAGACACAAATTTCATGGTTGGCCTGGACTTGGGTTTTGCATGCAAGCAAGCAAATGCAATTGTTGCAACAACTACAATATTCTGGGTTACATTTATGCTTCTTGGAGGGGGCAGGCGCGTATCTAATATGTCCCTTAGCATCACATTTTGCAAAGAAGACAGTGATGATGACAATGTCAATAGTTCTCTAGGATGCCTTCCCATTAGTATTTCTAATGCCACCACCCCAAAACTATAAACATCACACTTCTCAGTCACAGCAATCGTATAAGCAAGCTCTGAATAGAAAATATATAATATTTAACATGTCAGTTTAACAGTTGAGATTGAAATAAGATAATGGAAAGAAGAATGGTGATGGAAAAAACCTGGGGCAATATAACCGTAAGTGCCAGCAAGTATGGTATGATTGGATGAATCAGGATCCAAAAGCCTAGCATTTCCAAAGTCAGAAATAAAAGCCTTCAGTGCCGAGTTCAATAGAATGTTATTGCTTGATATGTCTCTATGAATGATGGGTGGGATGCAGTCATGGTGAAGATAAGACAAAGCATGCACTATGTTTTTTATGATATTCACCCTTTTGTTCCAATCTAGCTCCACCGCTTCTTCGTCACTTCTGAGCACACAAAACAAGCTTCCTTTTTCCATGTATTCATAGATCAAAAACATGCATCTCCTATGCAGACAGAATCCATGAAGCTTCACAATGTTCCTATGTCGTATTTCTGTCAACATCTTAACCTCATTCTTAAAACTCTTATCAAAAGCTGGTTCCTCTGCTTCCCTTCGATGAAGTTTCTTCAAAGCGACTACTTTACCATTTGGCAAGAGTGCTCTATAAACACTTCCATAGCCCCCAGTACCAATGCAATATCTTATGTCAAAATCCTCAGTTGCTTCAATGATGTCTTCATATGCAACCCTTCCATCAAAGTTCCATATTGAGAATATATCCCCATTTTTCATTGGACTTGGATCTACTTCCTTACATTTAGCTCCATGTACTCCTCGAGATAGTAACAACAATGCCAAAGATACCAAGGCAAGAGAAATGGTGCTCGGAAGAATAATTTTAAGATGCCTCGGCAATGAATCATGTCTTGATTCTCTGCTGCTTGATTTTTTATCTTCAATAAGGGATGGGGGGAGAGAAGGGGGGAGAGAAGGGGACCCAATAAGTTGTTCATCATTTAAATCCTTGTTTCCAATGAAACAACTTTGAGGAAAATGATGCAAATTATTTGGGATTTGACCCACAAAAGAATTATATGACAAATTAAGTTTATTCAAACTAGGTGGCAAATGGGGAATAGAGCCAGAAAGATTGTTGCAACTCAAATCTAAGACCACTAAATTTGTTAAATTCCCAAGTTGGAAAGGCATTTCTCCATTGATGTAATTCTGGCTGAAATCAATTTGTAAGAGCATTGAGAGATTGCCAATATGAGGAGGGATACTTCCATTTAGAGAGTTGTTGCTCAACAACAAAAGTTCCAAGTTGGAGCAATTCACAATCTGAGTCGGGATCGGTCCACTCAATCTATTTTGGGAAAGTATCAAATATTGCAAAGATCTTGTATTCCCAATGTCTTCAGGTATCAAACCTTCCAAAAGATTTGAATCAAGCCGCAACGACTCTAAATTAGTTAAATGAAATAGAGTGGGAGGGAGTGGACCAGTTATTTTGTTCTCCCTGAGCCAAAGCAGTTGCAAATTGTTTAGATTTCCTAATTTTGGTGGAATGAAACCCTCAAAACCATTTGAGTCAAGGAACAAAGAGCTCAAATTAGACAATAGACCCAAAGATGCAGGAATTGAACCCCCTAATTTGTTGATACCGAGATCCAACCAAGTCAAGCTCCTAAGTTTTGCTAGTTCTACAGGGATAGAACAATTGATTTGATTTCCATAAAGAACAAAGGTTTTCAAATTTGTCAGGTAACCCAAAGTTGAAGGAAGTGGACCAATGAGTTGGGCCCCCGCGATACTCAAATAGGTGAGATTCCTTAAATTTCCGAATTCTGGAGGGATACAGCTGTTGAATTTATTGAATCCAAGGGATAAAGTTGACAAATTGGTTAATTGACCAAGAGATGAGGGGATTGGACCTTCAAGCATGTTATTGGATAGATCTAAAGTAACTAAATTGGGTAATGAACCAAGAGAGGAAGGTATTGGACCTTTAAGCAAGTTATTGGATAGATCCAAAGTAACTAAATTAGGAAATAGACCAAGAGAGGAAGGTATTGGACCTTCAAGCAAGATATTGGATAGATCCAAAGTAATTAAATTGGGCAATAGACCAAGAGAGGAAAGTATTGGACCTCTAAGCATGTTAAAGGACAGATCCAAAGATACCAAATGGGTTAAATTCTGACTGATATCAGAAGAGATTGGACCAGTTAGTTGGCAATGGCTCAGGTCTAAGACGACTAGATTTTTCAAGTTCCATGTTTCTGGAGGTATACTACAATTTAAAGGATTTGAGGTCAAGTGCAGGTAAGCAAGATTGGTCAAATGGCCTAGAGTTTGAAGAATCGATCCAAAAAAGTAATTCCTTGTCAAGTTCAAGGAGACAAGATTCTTCAAATTCTCAACTTCTGTGGGAATGGAATTGATGTTATTGACAGAAATGTCAAGCACCATTAATTCAGTGAGATTTCCAAGTGGTAAACGTAACGCACCTCTTAGATCATTAGTGGACAGATTTAGGTGCTTGAGACTTGAAAGAGCACCAATTTGAGGTGGGATGGAATTGATGTAATTGAAAGAAATGTCAAGCACCACTAATTGAGTTAGATTTCCAAGTGAAGAAGGTAACGCACCTCTTAGATCATTACTGGACAGATTTAGGTGCTTGAGACTTGAAAGAGCACCAATTTGAGGTGGGATGCTCCCCTTGATTCCTAGACCGCTGAGATCAAGCCGAACAAGATTGGGAAGGGAAGAAAAGTTCATTTTTCCAAACTTCTCTCCCACACCGATAATAGGATTTGATGAATGAATTTCGGTGACACTTCCAGTACTGTCACATGTTACACCAGGCCAACCACAGTGATTTGTAGATTTGCGGGGAGTGTCATCCCACCACCCACTTTTCAGGAGAGCTTCTGCCTCTGCTCCTTGAGATTTTGTCCCCGTCATAGCCCTTGCCGTTGCCCCAAGTCTGGTGCCAAAACCAATCGAACAGTATAAAAAGAAGGTAGCCCATGTTAGTAACTCCATGGAACTGGAACTGCAAATATTATGATAATATTAAAGTTTCTTTTGTAAGTTTAAATAGACGAATATGTCTATACCCCTGGTCCCATTTTCCATCACCACCTGAAATGAACAAGTGCTTAATTATTTCCACACAAAAAGACAAACGTTCACTTAAAGTTGATGTATTTAATATTTTAATTTATTATAAAAAAAGTTGAAATATTTAATTCAGCTTTTTCTAATGGTAGTGGGCCAGTGGCAGACAGAAAGCCCCCTTCCCTTCGTTTGCAAAGTAATGGTCTTTGATTAGATTAATAATAATAGCAACGGATGCAATTTCTGAAGATATAGTCCTAACTCGGTGTGATTACTTTTCAGTTCAGGGTCTCCCGTTCATTTTTTATTTATCCTAATTATCAAGAGACTACAATTAGTCGTCTTAATTGACTCGTTTAAAAGCAAAATAGAATCATCTATTTTGAGTGTTTACCACGAATTAGCGTAGATTTTTGGAGGCCAAGTGCAAGCAGAGGAAAGATTCTATTTGCATCCCTCTAAATCTTATTCTCGCCTGTGATTATTTGCATTTTTTGAGTTTCCCCTACTTGTATTCTAAAAATATAGATTAAAAATATATTAATTATATATTTTTATCATTA